ATGTGTCTTAATTACAAGTTATGCAAAGGTAGTATAATGTCTCTCTTTCCACAGTAATTAAAAAGATGAAATTCTTTTGTTTTTGTATGTGTTGTCCTTAGTATACTGGAAAAAGTTCCTACCTGGTCACAAGATGGCTAGGGAATCTTCAGTTAATCAGTCTCTTCCTCACAAAATAACACTATAAATAGAATATATAGTAAGGATCATACAATACTCATAAGGTAATGGTAGAGATTAATCAAATACTTAGAACAATGTGTGGCAAATAGAAAGTGCTGAGTATATATTGATTTTTTTCCTATCACCCTATTCTATTAAAAATAAAACTCATTCCAAAAGAGATTTTAAAATTGGTATAACATACATTGAAATAGCAATACCTTAATAGGCCAGCCTATAATGTGAAAATGATCAATTTGTCTGCACTCTTGAGTATTTTCCAATAAAAAAAGCTAAAATTAACTTGACTAGCTTGATCACTCAATGCTTTATTTTTGTTAGATCATGTTTCCAGTGGAAATTATTCTTCATAAAAGAGAATTATTTTCATTATTTTACAGGTTGTTAGTGTCATACGTATTGCTGAATAGGCCTATTCTTCACATTTTAGTTTAAAATTCAAATGTATATAATTTGTTTGAAAGAGATTAAATAAAATTCAACAGAAAAGTTGAATGCCAATTGTTCTATATGTAAAAGGCCATAGAAGTCTTATAAAAATTATGAATTAAAAATAAAAGAAAATGATATTCACTGTTATTAACATGTAAAACTCCTTGAAGTATTATCAAAATACAGTTTTCTCTATAGTAGGGCATTTCCCTGATTACAGAGTGGTAAAAGATAAAAACGAATTCCAATTTTGCACAAGAACAGTTGCCTCATCATTTTATACAAAATATTTCCTTGAGAAGCCTTATCTTATATATCTTCCTGTAACTTTTAAACTAATTATTCCACAGAAAGAATTTTCTGTGGAAAATTTTTCATTTTCATTGGCAAGTATTTAATTACACTTGTGATTATAAGTTTTCAGTTTTTTTTCAGAACTTTTGGCAGAAATCATCCTATTCTCAATATTTTCCTCTCTACCAATTCCATTTCTGTAGGATAAATTCAATATTCCTTTACCCTATTCTTGTCCAGATTCTTCTTTTCCCACTTAGACTGCTCCAGTTTTTCCTCCATCCAATATACTGAAAGTGCCTACGAAATTTCCACATTGCCATGTCTGATAGTCTTTGTCCTTTTTATGCTCCAGTATTTATAGTTTTATTTATTTTTATTGAAATAGCAAAACTTATAGGGACATCAAATATACAGCATTATAATTCAGCATTAATATTTTCTACATTTTGATCACCATCTATCTTCATCACAGCATTATTTACAATAGATCTAGTATTTCTTCATAAACCTAAGCACTGCTTTGTCCAGGTCATGCTACATTCTTCCTGAAGGCATAAAGCCAGCCTAGTTAAGATTGGAATAAATACTTCATAAATATTTACCTACAGTTGCTGAAATTGTGATCAACATTTCTCTTTGTTTCAGATTTGGCTTATGGAGATATAATTTTCATTTATTTGAAAATAAGCTGTTAATATACTTGTGAGATAGTTTTAAAGATGAAAAAAAAAATGATACCCACAGAGAAGAACTATTTTACTTGTCTTTGTATATTCCCAAGGAATCAAATGAAAAAAGAGAAAGCTGGCCTGAAAATTAATAATTTTCATATATACAGTGCTGTACACTAGTTTCATCTTAATAGAAAAAAATAATGTTTATAACAACATCAGAGGAAGCACCACAGCTAGAACACTACTTCTTTCACTTAAATATGTGAGAGGATCTTAGAAAGGAGAGTGGATAAAGTCAAAAGGCATTATACAATGTTCTACAAAACTAATTAGCATCTGTTATATAGAGTCTATGTTCTTTTACCATTGGTCAGGTCATCAAATAACTTTTAGATTATGTGGTATGAGATCTATGTAAATAAGATTTTTCAAACATTCCTTATCATTGGAGCTGAAGGGTTAAAAAAGGATATTTCAATGAGTTGTCATTTGCTGCAAACATTTGTCTTTAAAGAGAAACATAGGATGTTTCTGTTAGAGGATAGAGTGAAATCTGCCATCATTAATGCATATCAATGAAAATGTAGATTAAGGATAATTGAGAAAATATTACATTTCCATAATTTTTTGGAGAATTTTATTAACTAATTTCTAAACTAATAACTGTGATTACTCAATAATAAACACTCAGTGACAACCAAACTGTACTAAAAGCTCTTAAAAAAATCAAGTTTTAATTAGAGTATAGATATGTAGTCATTCATTCTAGTTCTTATTTCTAGATGCAATCACCATTTCTACTCAAAACTTATCAATTTGTTGTGCTTTATATGTATTACATTCACCATTAAAATATTCTGATGGAATCTGAACATATGAATAAAAACATTTATCATTTGTGATTCCTGTGAACATGAATCTTTGTTTTTACTCTCAGAAAGACACATATGGATATGCATGACAATTTGATAAGTAAAAGAAATCTTGAGGTTAAACTTATGTAAGAGAAAAAAATACACCAAATTTTGAAGCAACAAGTGGACATAAATGCTTTTGTGTATGTAGCTTTATATATTAAGGGAAGAGGCAAAACTGGTATCAAAATATATGCAACCAAAAATAACCTAAAGAATTTTCAAAATTCATATAATTGTTTAATAGATGATTAGTGAGATCAATTTAAAAATCAGTTTAAATATAATTTCTTAATTAAAGCAAAGCCTTTTCTCTGTGCATGTTACTATTCTTTGGGTAACTAGCAATTTCTATGGTAATTATATGTTCTCTCAAACATTACATTTTAGAAAGATGTCTGCCATGTAATGTGTAACACCAGCATTTATTCCAAGATACTCATATTATCTAATTAGCATTGTAATGTATAATTACACAAAAGTGACTAATTCAAATGGTCTAGTACCTAATACCAAACACAGGTTACTGAAAAGATACTAAATTGATTTAGTAGCAGTTATATTTACAAAAGTCAGAACAATTCTGTCTTTAAAAGCAGAGACTTTTTTTTTTTTTTTTAAAGATTTATTTATTCATATAGAACTGGGGTACAGGCCAGAGATGTGGAGGGTGAGAGGATTCACCAGAGACGGAGCAGGGAGCAGAACAGGCAGATCAACGAAGTACACTGCTGAGGGGAGCAGCGGGCGGGTCAGGAGAGGTCTGCCATGCCATGTGGACACCTCCCGGGCAGGCGGGAATCGAACTGTTGCGGAAGTGGCTTAAGCTTCTCAGTGCTGTGCTTTAACCTGCTGCACCACAAGGGAGGGCCGGCTTTATTTTCTTTTACAGAAATTTAAAATAAATAAAAAGGCTAAAATGCAGGGATGTTAATGGGAAATTATTGATATTCTATAAGGTGTTACTACCTTTATAATGTTCTCTTCCATAAGTTCGTAATATTTTTAAAGAAATAAAGGCAACCTTGCACATTTCAAACTTTCCCTATGGTTAACTGATTGAATATATTTTCTTTTGGTGGAAGCATTTTTCAATTTTTAAAATATGCCTATCCTGATAACAAAAAACTTTTCTTATTCCACAATATTATAAAGAAACTTACCATTTATTCCACTCACTCTCACATGTAAGACATCAACATAGAAACAAAGGACAATTATCCAAACTCCCTACCATGGAAACTTCAGAAAAAGTAGTGATCTGTGGCATTTCTAGTTGACTATGATTAAATAAGAACAAAATGTAAGACTCACTCATAGGGTGTAAAAGTAAAGTGTCTAAGAAGGTCAGCTGAAAACTACACCATTATTTCATATGGATGATGACAAGATTAAGCTCGTCATCTCTCATGATAATGGGCAAAGAGTTGTTAATTACCATCGTAGTTAAAGGATATCAGAAAAATGTCTGGAAGCCAGATTCAAAGTATGAGTGATATTTTCTCTTTCAGCCTAATTACTAGGATAATGATGCTCAATTACCATTTAATAATAAATATTTTTAAATTTATATTTTGGGGGATGTAACATTGATTTATAACACTGTATATGATTTAGAGGAATAGGGTCACATCTTCAGGTATATGTTGCCATGCCGCACCCACCAGCAAAGCCCCCCCCTCCCACATTGGTCTGCCTCTTCTTTTGGTGACCTCAATTTTACAATCAGATTTCTAGAAGTTGTTATTGGTTTGGCTTATCTGATACTTTTCTTTGTGTGTTTCTCTGTCCTCCACCTATCAGTGACACTATCTAGTATTTTCTTTCTCCTGATTTATTTCACTTAGCATACCCCTTACAGTTCCATCCAGTTGTTGCAAATGGCAAGATTTGGTCCTCTTTTAAGGACAAGGAAGTGACTGTGCTGAAACAGCAGTTTTCAGTACAGGTAGCTGACTGAATTTCTCTTAATTGCAATTTGTTGCTGAATTTGTTTTTTCTCCCTCTGCTCCCCAAATAAATATTTCTTTAGAGTCAATTTATGTTTCCAAGAATAATGATGTATTTTGCCCATTCAGCTGTGCTACTGTTCACCAAAGCCAGCCAACAATGATCTCATCTCACCTACAGTATAAATCTATCAGTGAATAAACAACATCATTTTTATTTCCATGTCGATGACACACTACATGTTGATTTGGCAGCTAAATAATTTATCTCTCTTTTGGGTGCAATCTGCCAGGCTTATTATAACTCTACTTCTGATATTCATTTCATGTTTAATACTTCTTTGCCTCATGAGGATGCTTGTCAATCAATTAAATTGAAATGTCATTCTGACCTTTTATTGGAAACCATTTACTTTTTCATTTCATCACGAGTTTTTTTTTTCCATTTTATTCAAATTAAAAATTGTAATTACTAGTATTCAGAAACTTTATACTAATTAACCTTACAAAATTACATGCTCATCAACATTACTGACACTTTGTTTTTACAGAGGTTATCCAGTTGAGTTTGCCTGAAGATCAGAAACTCAGCATTACGGCAGCAACTGTGGGACAAAGTGCAGTTCTGAGCTGTGCCATTCAGGGGTCCCTGAGGCCCCCCATCATCTGGAAAAGAAACAATATTATTCTAAATAATTTAGATTTGGAAGACATCAATGTGAGTACATAAATAACTGTTGCTTCATAATTTATATGTTTCACATGACATATCTAACCTTTGTGAAATATAAAGAGCTTAAATATCATGGTTGATAGCAACCTGTAACTTTTGATGTATAGAAGCAGTTTTGCCGCAAATACTTCATAATCTGTCAGGAGCAATAAGTAACAATCAGACAAAAGAACTTTTTTTTTTTTCTGGAATGAAGGAAAATGTTTCTCCACTCAAGTTCATTCTACAGACTCAGAATCAAAACTTAACTCAGGTGGGTAAAACTCCAAAGGTGAAACAAAAAAGAGGAATCCCATTAGTTATTTCCATAATTGTAGCAATTTATCTTCCCACCAACAATGCCCAGTTCTCCTTTCCACATCCTTCTCAACAGTTTCTTGTCTTGAAAGGGCCATTATCAAAAGTGTGAGGTTATATCTCATTGCTTTATTAATTTCTATTCCTCTAATAAGAGATGAATATCTTTTCAATCTTTCCATTTATATGCCTTTGGATAAATATCTATCCAGATCCTGTGCATATTTCCAACCAGGTTGTTTGGTTCTTTTGTGGTTGAGTTTTATGATTTATTTTTATATTCTGATATTAAACTGTTGTCAGACCTATGGAGTATAAACATCTTCTCTCTTTTAGTAGCTTGTCTTTTTGCTCTGATGCAAGTTTCTTTCATTGTGCAGAATATTTAAGTTTGATAAAGTCTCATTTGTTTTATTTTGCTTTTGCTTTTTAATTCAAATTTAATTGGGTGTCATATTTTATTTGTTAAGCCTGGCACTATGCATGAAATTTAAATTGGTTTGAATATTGCATATTATATTTTCTTTCAAATGATTCTGTGGTTTATAATCACTGAGACTAAATGTTTGAACTGTTAAAAAGTTCATGTGATTCTCTATACTGATTGTAGATTCACATTATATTTTCATGTTTAGTATTGGTTCTCTACTCTTTTTTCTACATTTATCTAGCCTGATAGTAATTATATCAATAGTTGAACATAACTATAAAAAATAATACATGAAATGGACAGGATATTACTCTTTCATAAAATATACTGTATACAACACATCTGGCATGTTTCTCTGTGAAACATCTAGAACACAATCACCTTTCTTTTCTGACACCCAAGAGCAAGTTTATCTCAGGGTTCAAGAGACTATTGGAATTATAACTGGTAATCTATTTTATAAATTCATAATCCAGGTCTGCACAGTAAAAATAATAATAATAAATGAAAGACAAATTACACTGATTTCTTGTAGTCCAACAGCTCTTTATTGGTGACAGCTATGCAATAGCAATAACTATACTAGAGGAACTGATCAATATAATTGTTTTGTTGGGCATTCTGTTTAGTTTTCTGTTAGAAATAAGGAATAGAAGAACTAGCTATACACTATCATCTAGGATGAAATAAGATGTATTACTTTATAGTTGGGGTTCTTTTTCTGCATCAATGAAATAATATTATTCCTCAGACCTCAAACCTGAGCAAC